CGAGAGCGAGAGCGAGAGTGAGAGAGAAAGAGAGAGAGAGAGAGAAAGAGCGAGAGATAGTGAGAGAGAGAGAGAGAGAGAGAGAGAGAGAGAGAGAGAGAGCGAGAGCGAGAGTGAGAGAGAAAGAGAGAGAGAGAGAAAGAGCGAGAGATAGTGAGAGAGAGAGAGAGAGAGAGAGAGAAAGCGGCAGAGGGAAAGTCCAAGTAGGCAGAGTTCAGCAAACGCAGGGCCGCGCGGCGCCACGTTCACAAACGATATTTACATCAAGCACCGCCCTTTAGTTTATGCACACAACCAACATTTCATACTATGACGCAATTACATGCTAATCCCGTGAGTCAGCGATAGGCATAAGAGGTAAATAAACAATATAGCGATCCGTCCGCGTACGTAACGTATATAATCAGGAGTAGATAAAGGGACCCCCCTTTATCTACTCCTGATATAATATGATAATCCCCAGCACTCGGGCGTGTAGTCTGATCATGACTACAAGTACAACTACCAGACGAGATAACAGCAAGTGCCCGTGACCATAATCCCGTAGATCTGACACACAGATAACGAACTAGCTGCGGTGTAGTTGGAATCGGGTTAGCCCTCAGTGCTGGTCTTACACTGGATGAGGCTATAGCGTGCCGGTGTCGCCACGCAGTCAGCTTGTCCACACAGTGTGAGTAATCAATCGGATCACGGGGGACTTAGCCGCACTTAATGCGTACACACCTGACAGACTGACACGCGGGTGTATGACCCTGAATGACAGATTGCACGTATAGTAAAGGCCCCTCTCATCATAAAAACCTATACCGACCATTCGCCGGGGTTTTGTGGACTTATCTCCGAGTGGGTTACTAAAGCTCCCATTGCTTTTTGAAATCAAATGACTAGCTAAAATTCTGAACATTAAATATGAAAATCACTCAGGCCCGGTGAAGGGGTGGGGGCACTCACTGACTGTGGTTATTCCACAGAGCTGTGGCATGAGATGCGGAAACTAATACTATACGATGATATACTATAATAATAATAAGAATACTACATGAATGATAGGCTCGGTTAGTATGTGTACGATACTTCTATACACATCTATCCCTCCTTCTACACCGGCTACTTTCTTATCCTTATCTCTGTCTCCTCCTCCTCTTCCTCCTCCACTACCTCCACCTCCTCTTTAACCTCCGCCGCCTCCTCCCCCTCTCCCTTCTCTCTCTCTCTCTCTCTCTCTCTCTCTCTCACACACACACACACACACACACACACACACACACACACACACACACACACACACACACACACACACACACACACACACACACACACACACACACACACACACACACACACACACTACTACNCCATCCTCTACACAGCCTCTCATCCTCTACACAGCCTCCCATCCTCTACACAGCCTCTCATCCTCCTCCACACAGCGTCCTATCCTTCACCAGCGTTCTTAAAATCTGTCGTCGGTTGTATACGACAGAGCTCTGCTACGATATAACATTAACAGCAACATCACCCTGTGTGTTGAGGATATTAGGCTATACCCGTGCTAGCTATAGTACTATAGCCATTCGCTCTGCCGCAAGCACCTGCGGCGGAGCGAAGGGCTATAGTACTAGAACTACACCCGTGCATACATTCTCCCCGGCACCGCTGTCGGTGCCGCCCTCAGACGATTTGGCACAGCTTCAAAATAGAAGCCCTGTGTATGCACTCCGCCCCACTTCACAATCACAGTCTGCTGGTATTGGTGTCATGCATAATTCGTCCGCGCAGTAAAGTAGTCCCGGGGCGACAACCGGTGGCAGTCATCCAGCTCGCTGTGCAACACTTGTTCAGTGGTAGAAATTAACTTTTGAACAAGGCAGTCCAACGGAGTCCGCAGCAAAATGAGGGAGTCCGCAGTCTGAAGTTCAAAACTAAAGTAACGCATGTGCTTATTTTGATGATTCATGCGGCTGCTCGTCTGCCAAATTATCTTTGAAGATTTTTGCTGGAAAAATACGGAAATTCCGCGAGGCCGTGCCCTGGAACGAACTAGTTAGTATAGCAGAATTTTCAGCGAGTCATACGGAATTCTGCATATGTTAAATCAGGGAGTATTTGACTCCGGACTCGCGTGAATTTCGCACCCTGCTTGTTATTACATAGCATGCGAGCACGATTGAGTAAGAATGTTTTCTCGCTACGTGCGACAATTCTACCATTTGTTCAGCAGTCCTTGCAGACAGACTCGCTTCGTCGATCTTACCTCAGCGTTCTATATAAACATATAGATTGAATTCTCTGAACGGTCCCCTGAGTTATCAATAAATAGATGACTTATTGATAAAATTTATTGAACGCGTCGCAATATACTGGCCGTAAGGCACGATGAAGCCACTAGTATCATCATGTAGTACATACAGTAGACCAACTAGTATCCCACATCCTGGTACAGTTACATCGCAGACGACGAAAACGCCTTTTTTACTTATGTAAAGCAGTATCTGAATAAAAAAGGAAAATTTTTGTGGACCTACCACTGTCTGGCAGGTTTCTTTCTGTCCGAAAATAAACACTTTTTAACCTACGTAAAAACCCTTAGCACGTAGTAGAACCAAGCCACACCATGCAGCGTAAAACAATACGACCGAACCGCTGACTTTTTTTGCATTTATTTATTTTTTAGCTCTACTACCGTGTAACGAGAACGGCTAACTAGAAAGCGCCCACCGCCATGATATGAATGGTTATCACAATATGCGCAGTAATGGCTATCTCTCATTCGCGCGCGTTAGCTCGTGATCGAGCAGCCAGCATATAGAATGCGATGCGACACAGCACGTAAAGCCTACCGCAGACCTGCGATTTTTTCATGCAACTTGACAGCAATTCTAGAATCGCTGTAAAAATTGCTGTGAAATCGCTACGTCTGCGGGATCGTGCAACTGCAACCCGTAGCGATTCTGGTCGCTTGCGACGAGTTGCAAGAAATCAAACTTGTTTGATTTTGAGCGACTCGTCGCTCCCAATATTGTTCATAGAATTGCTTCGAAATCGCATGTACGTGTGCGCACACGCTGCGACACATTCCGACCGATCGCTTGCTGTTGCAGGTTGCAGGCGACGAGGCAGAGCAAAAATCGCAGGGTCTCGCGCAGGCTTTTGGGTGACCATGCGCAGCAGTCCCTTACGCCCATTACGCAAACACGAACACACGCGTAATCTATTTTACATCGACGGGGGGTCCCTCGCTCTTCTCTCTCTCTTTTTCTTTCGCTTGCTCTCTATCGCGCGCTCTCCTTTTCTCTCTCTCTCTCTCTCTCTCTCTCTCTCTCTCTCTCTCTCTCTCTCTCTCTCTCTCTCTCTCGCGTCTCTTATTTGCCGAAAACCTATGCGCTTCGGTGAGGTGCAATGCCTCTCGGGACTTTTCGCTATTTTTTTTAGCAGCGAAAAAAATCTGCAAGGTAAACATTCCGTCTAGTCTGCTCTTCATTAGGGCATTTTTGGCTAATGTGATTTGACGCCGCCATACAACTGTCCTACAAAGAGGCTGAGAGATCTGCCTGCAGCACACCAACGGTGATAAAATCAAGAGCGTATTAAGAAGGCCTTACCTTCTTAATACGCTCTTGATCAAATGAATCGTATGGCGTTATAAAGGAATACAATCACATTAAAATTTCGTATGTAAATTGCAAATGAGTTGGCTATTACAATGGACTGCATTCTACAGACTATGCTGGCAGACAGTCCGACTATGTTTGTCTCAGTTTTCCATATAAATTCCCATTTGGCTGCCATACTAATGTAGTAGAATCCCTCTTTTTCTCAACCTGACCCAGTGACCTTTGAATGCAACTCATCTATTCAAAGACCGATGTTAGACTTGATCAATGACCAAATAATTGATTTAATAAAATCTGCATCGATTAGATGAGCTGACGATGGCTCTGTCACCGTAGTCTTAATTAGTAAATCTTAAATTAGTCTTATTAGTCAAATACCAGTGTTTGCCCTGCACTGACACGAGTGAGGCGGGCCGCCTCGCTCAAATTCTCAGCCACCACACAGAAATTTGTTCAAAACACCGCTTCGCTGACGAAACCTTTGACAACTTGAAAAAGAGATTCAAGAGTCTCATACAATGTGTTCAGAATAGCTTAGAATGCACCAAATTGCACCTTTTTTTTTATTCCTGGGGGAGCATGCCCCCGGGCCACTAGCTTGGCCAGCACCTGCACTGCTCGCTTTGCTAGAACCCCAAAACGCGCAAATACATCACAAGAAACATTTACCAACTCACAGACCTTTTTGGCCAGGAGAAACACTGAAATACCAGGAGATCTACAACACGAAACACGCACAGCCAAGAACTAATAGGAGGTCGGTGTAGAACAGCGGTTCTTAACCTGGGAGTCGTGACCCCCATGGGGGTCGTTTGGGGGTTTTCCGGGGGGTCATGAAGGTGTCATAAATGAAACAAATCCATTTAAATTCTATAAAAAACGGGCTGGTATTTTTTAAATTTTTGTTTCGGAGGTCAAGAATGTCTGATGGGGTCATGGGGCCAAAAAGGTTAAGAACCACTGGTGAACCTTGTGGAACCTGTGAAACTGGTGAACCTTGGTAGAAGGGTCAGTAGCTTACCTGCCGCCAACAGACAGATCAGAGACCGCATAGTAGTAGGACTTCAATACGTTCGCATCGCCGAAGATTTCGTCACCAAAGGTGTTGATGCGGTCTAGCGTGATCCTGATGACTGAAGCAGACACCCACTTCTGCAAGCATCCGCAAAGAAACAGACAGTTACGATTTTGTCTGTATAATTTCGCTGGATTTTTCTCAATATGACATGTTTTCTTTTGCAAAAACGCAATTACAAAAACATAGTTCAACATCGTTTTACTGAAGCGCCAGTTAGACAGCCATGCATGTGGAATTGTGTATCGGGGAGAAATACAAATTTTTCCGGAAATAGCCGAACGGTAGTAGGGCGCAACTTCGGGATCGCTCAGGTCCATAATACACATGCGTACACACGCATTGTGAACCCTAACCTTAACCCTAACCCTAAACAGAAAAATAAAAAAATAAAAAAAATAAAAAATAAACAGATGGGATTCGAACCAACATAACCAAATACCCTGGTATGTAAAATAAATATATGGTGCAATAATCATGCATGTGAGGCTGGGCCGTCATCACTAATCCGACATTAGCCAAGTAAAATCTCACATTACTACGACAAGGTCGAGGTCACAACTGAAACCACCTCCTAATGAAGCCCTTGCCGTTTGACACAGTGACAACTCTTCACACGAGATAAAGTTAATGTTTTTTTGCTTTTCTGAGACAACCAAATCTGCTACCAGAGAAGTGAAAGCATGTGATGTATGCTCATTTTTCTGTGAAAAAAATGAAAAAAATGAATCTAGGATCTGATTGCGCGGCTTTTTTGCATCATACAAATGATATCACTCGCTGGTTGAGCGGTCGGTAAGCCCTGAATGCGCTGCTACAGTTATCTATGCAGACAGGACCGGACTGGGAAAATCATTCAGGCCGGTGTAGCGTGAAATTTCTGACTTGAGAAATACATGATATAAGATGCGTATGCCAGAGTTTGATTGTTTAATTCGCATTGTTCGCTTGATTCTGAACTGATCGATCAATCGTCGTGTGAACGATCTCTTCAACGGCGCTCCGTGTCGTTTTTGATCAGAATATCAACTACAATCTCTACCTATCAACTCTAAACTCTAGCTAATATAAACATTACAACACAGTTTGTGTTCGTCCAAGTGTACACAACTTATCGCAACACAAAGACGAGCTGTGATTGGTCGCGTCGGCACGCATGCGCATACGCATCCTATATCAAGAATTTCGCAGACGTCAGGAATTTCGCGCAAACCGGGAAACATAGCGCAAAATATAGCCCCATCAGACCACTTTTTAAGCGGGGATCTGGGGGTCCCGGGACTCCCCCACCAGGAAAATTACCACAGGCCTGCAGGCCGCATAGAAATGGCCTGCAGGCCACAGATTTAATGTATATATATATATGGCCTGCAGGCCGCAGATTTATTTAAAAAAAATTTGGGGGGGCAGGCCACTTAGCAGGCCAGGCCACCGGGAAAACTCCCGGTGCTCCCGATCGCCAGTCCGACCCTGTATACATGCAGCGACGCTGTACCTGCAGCACTGGCGAGGTGTCAAAGTGGTAAGCGTGTGGCCTGCCCTCTAGCGTCGCGAACGCCACGTTGCCTCCCGTCAGCGGCGAGATGTCGCTGAAGTCGTCCGTACAGATGGCCTTCGTCTCCTCCTCCTCCGTCACGGGTTCCTCGAGCTTCTCGCCGTACGTGCGCTGGCAGGAGGAGCTGTAGTACTGGTAGGGAACCCACTCTCCGTCAGTGCTCATGCTCTTGTAGATGGCAAAGCTCTCGGGCCGACTCGTGTAGAATTTTAGTCGGACGTAGACGACCTCAAAGGTCTTTCCTGCAAACGGCGAAACGCGACAGTTCAGTTACAAGCGCACGTGATTGATTAATTAATTAAATAACTAATTAATTAATTAATTAAATAAATAAGCTAGTGGAAATTATGGAAAGCATACAATTACGACAGCTATACTCCCAATGGTCCACTCGGATTTATATTACTCGTTTGCTGATTAAAAGTTACAACGCGCTGAGGATTCATGGTTACTTTAAGAGACTTAATTATCTTACAGAAATAGCCTGTTGGAGAATTATTCAGATGCAAACAGAAATTACGGCGCCTAACATTAATAACCTCCACTAGGCTAGAGGTACGATGCTCAATGGCACAGTTTGCTGTCACAATTAAAATGTTGAGTTGGGTTGGTAAAACAAATTGTATGCGTTCCATTCCGATTGTTTAAACTGTGAACACGAAAAGACCAAATTTATTATTATGACAGCAACATTGATTATTGAAGCATTATTTTCTTAGCCGTGATTTCTGTACCTGCTTATATTTTAAATCATTTGCTAATGTTAGTCATTGTTTTATTGCAAACAGTAACAAACCACACTCCTCAAGCCTGCAACAGTAAGCCTATATAATATTAAGTAAGCCTATATGCAACAGTAAGCCTATATAATATAATATTCAAATTCTCACAATAGAGAAACAGTAACGAAAGTCATTTCACTGCCGTAGTCAATTATTGCACAAGATTTAAAGCATCGGTCATAAAAAAACATCTATTATCAACGAGCCATTGCATCTAATTAAAATTAATGATCATGATTGCTATTATTAGCGAGCTATTGCATCTAATTAATATTAATAATTATGATTGCCTGACAATAATGGACATTAATAAATATGGTGATTTAATCACGATCTTTCAGATTAACACATTGCCTTATATTGATTGCAACCTCCAGAGTGTAGAAAGCAGTAGTAGAAATAAGGCCACAATTAAACAAATCTCTGTTTGCCCTCACCCGACCCAGGCTGAAAAGTTTGGGTAGGTAGGTAGGCTTTTTTTGAGAGGGGCCTTTTTACAAATTCAGCATGGCGTCTACATGCTCGGGTGTGCTTGTGTGGAGATACCTTTTATGTTGAATGTTTGTTTTGTTTGGTACATATAAATACTTTTTTTTTGAGTAGGCCCCTTTTTGGCGGGTCGGTCGGGTGAGGGCAAACAAACAATATTTCTATTATGGCCTAATAGTAGTATAGTAGTAGCACGCTGCAATAAATGATAAAGACATTCGACCCTAGTCAGAGCGGAGGCTGCGCGCAGCCACATCTGCCTGTGACAGCACACGAAGCGCCACCTATCCATTAACCCTAGCGGGTATCAGCGTCTCACTTTTCTGGGTGTTACTTCGCCATCATTACAAACATACTCTTCACATTTAACCCCGTTGTCACCGACAGCTGCTGCTGCGGCCCACACAGTGTGCTAGTTCACCACCAACCCCTATTATCTATAGCTGCCCAACGAAAAAGAGGCATTTCCATCCTAAAATTGTCCGGCAAACAGCCTGTACAAACTCGGACGGTGTCGCACATGCGGGATAAATGGCCCCTCGCCGGTAGCCTACTCTCTGCTGCTTTGTGAGATTGCCGTCACGCGAACGTCTCCCTCATTCACGCTTGTTAAGTGCGTGGTTTTTTAAGTGGCGGCCGCTGAAGTGCCACGGTGGCAGACACAAACGCAGCGCCGATGGCCCACGAACGGACCGATCGTATACGGCTGCTCGGCCCGCCTCGGCGAAGGCACTTAATGAGGGAACAGTGCGCACACGCCACATCAACGAATGCTTCCGCCCAGCTGTGGAAGCTGCGAAAAAGGAATCCCTTTGGTGCTAACAAGTACAGCAGCCAGTGCGTCTATGAGAGAGAGAGAGAGAGAGAGAGAGAGAGAGAGAGAGTATATCTGATATGTCATCAGAAGTAACAAGACGACACATGACGTCACACAATAATGTGTTGCACATAATGTTATATATATTACTTCCGATGGCATCTGAATCGCGTATGTCATCACCAGCGCAGCATAATAGATGCTAACAGTCCTGAGTGAATAATAATAGATCTATTGTTATGCACTCCTGATGCTATCATAGCTACTAAATAAGTAGTATAATACGACCACTAATCACTAAGCTACTAGACACCAATACTAGACACTAGGCTACACATCATTGTTACACAAGCGCGCACACATGCACGGGTTAGAAGCATTCAATATAGGGAACTACTATTGCGCATGGCCTCATACTTTGATACCGATTCACAGGTCGGGCATACTCTGATGAAAAGCCGTCATAGCAGCGCACTATGCAGATACTAGGATGATACTCCATTAGGAGTGTTCCCAACTTTAATGTCATTCATGGTCATAATAACGCAGTATACTACGGCAGCGCACTATGCAGATACTGTTTCGCCCGCACACTCCAAAATCAAAACAGTCAAGCCAAATATTGATACAGGAAGCTACTGGGTGAATACACAATGATGCGGCAACTACAGCAGTACACGCAACACACATATTATTATGCTTGTCCGTGAACTGGCAGAATTATTTGGCGAGGCACTGTATCGTACACTGTGTGTAGTACTGGAGCCCCAGCATTTACGGAATATCTGATGGAGAGAACGATGTGTAACCCGAGGGCTGAGGGTACGCGAAAAGCTTGTTGAGCTGTTTGATCAGGTGCTGTACGCATCTTTCACCACGTGAAATGACACGTGTGCCAGTGTGCATGAATAATACCAATACTGAAACAACACAGAGATACGATATGTGCTCTATTTCTGCTTACAAGAAAAAAACAATTTTCATCGCAGCACTAGGCTATTATAGCATTATTAGCATACACTTGTCTGTCAAGTCAGGATTAAAGGTGTGGGGGGATTGCAGGCAGAATCGGAACGTGTGTGATAATTGATATGCGCTATGTACTTGGTAATATCTACGTATATAATAGAGGTGATGTGTACACACATGTAAATGCATGTGTGCCATATGTACACATATATTTTACTGCACGGTACCCAGTAGATGAAGGTGGACGTATACTCTACATACAATTATGCACGTAAAAGCCATATCGGAAAGTCCCCGCCATATTGAGATTAGATAAGAGGGGGTATAAGTTGCCTATATATAACCAGGAGTTAATATTGACAAAAATTTGTCATTATTAACCCCTGATATAACATGGGTAGGATATGACTATTCTAGGTTTTTGATCTATAATTATCTTCACTAACATCGTACTTCAATTCACAGGTGCGTTTCTGTTTACAGAAACATTTACAAATATGATTGTGGTCATTTGGGATATTTTGCAATGTTTGTATTAATGCACGAGTGTTTAGTTGTACTCTCCTAATGTACTTTCCCTTTTCTAATTGTACTTATACCTTCCATGTACTTTCCTAAGCGCGCCTCGGCCATTTTATACCCCCTTTTTCTATGACCTATTTAATAGCACAGCTGGACTTTCCGATATCACTTATTAGGGCTGCGACTGGAGTTCGCACATAATACTCACATGAACTGCAGCGTGAAAGACAGATAACCTTGATAGAGGACGAAGCATCTAACTTTGTAAACTAGTTATAAGCTATCAAGAGCGCATTAACCCCTTAATGCGTTAACATGCATTAACCCCTTAAGGGTTAATACGCTCTTGAAGCTATACGTTATGAAGAATGTGTATAATTGTTAGCTAGACTGACTGCAGGCGTCGCTAGCGCTGGGGTGAGCACACAAAGTTGATAAGAAACAACTTACGGAGGCAGTCTACATACTGCAGGTGGGAAAAAGTTTCACACCGGTCTACGAAACCACGAAACATTTGAAACCAAACGAACGAACAGAGAGAACGTTTGACATTCAAACGGTGGATTCGCGACCACTACGGGTGGTCGGATTCCCTGGACTCATGAGGTTAAGCCTCTGAGTAACAAAACAAAAAAAACAAAAAAACGAACGATCATTATAATACCACCCGCGATCTGGACGCGTGGATAAAACCTATTAACGTTTCACATATTTTATGCGGTGTATAGCTAGCTTGCGTGCGTGGATGCGAGAAGCATACAGATCATTTATCAAGGGTATTTGTGGTATCAAGGTTTATCAAGGGATTTTTATCAAGGGTAGTGTGTCCAGTGAGTCGCGGTCGATTTTCGAGTCGGCCGGCCGAGTCGCCCGATTCAAACATGTTTGATAATTATTTGAGCCGGCCGGCTGCAATCGCCTAGTGTGTCCGGGTCTGCGATTGAGCCGGCCGATTGCACGATTCATCAGCCAATCAGCGTGCTGAAAATCCACAGAGTCGCCCGACTCAGTCGCGTAGTGTGTCCACAGAGTCGCCCGACTGAGCCGACCGGCTCGATCGCATGAAAAATCGCGTGTCCACAGCTTTAAAGAATGCCTTGATGTGCGTCTGATATTCTGTGATGACCAAAACCCTACCATTACCATCGGGAGTATATGAACAGAGATGTATCACTATTCTACAAGACCTCTATTCATCTACTCTTGCCTCCATTGCCACTAGCAATACCATTATCAATACCGCTACCACCGATACTGCTACAACCCCCACCATAACCCCACCACCGCAGCTGCCATCGCCGTCACCACCAACAGCTCTTCTACTAATAATACTAATAACCAAGGAAGTAGCGCATTACATAGAGAATATCTGTCTAACATTAGCCACACTGCAGCATACAGTCCTGCCAACCCACAGTCCTGCCAGCTCCCAGTCCTGCCATCCCACAGTCCTGCCAACCCACAGTCCTGCCAGCCCACAGTCCTGCCAGCCCACAGTCCTGCCAGCCCACAGTTCTGCTAACCCCCAGTCCTGCCAACCCACAGTCCTGCCATCCCACAGTCCTGCCAGCCCACAGTCCTGCCAGCCCACAGTCCTGCCAGCCCACAGTTCTGCTAACCCCCAGTTCTGCTAACCCACAGTCCTGCCATCCCACAGTCCTGC